GCAGTGGTGGGGGCGTGGCAGCTTGCAGCCGGCCCGCTGGTCACATCCCCCCCCCCGGCGTTACTCAGATCCCCAGTATCAGAGGAGAAGACACATGGAGCGGAATCAAACGTACTCGTGCACAGACAATACCAGGTGCTTCCTGCCTTTGAAATGAAACAGCTGCAGCTGGACGTGGGCGGGGGCATTTCCTGGGCTCTATGCCCAGTTCTAACCTCAACAGACGTTTCACCCCTACGTGCCCCACGTCCCTCTGGGGAGGAGTGGCGAAAACACTGACCCCCACGTCCGGGAGGGGGAAGGGCAGCAGACAACTCTCTGCCATGCTCAACGGTGCGGCACGAGAGGAAGGCAAAGGGTGAGCGATATTTACGGGGCGGCAGCGGAAAGACGCTGCATGGGGTGCCCCGGAACCCTGGCTTGTTCCCAGTGCTGACCTTGGGCAAGGTGATCTCTCCGTGCCTCAGTTACCCCATCTGTACAATGGGGTTAATGATACCAACAGAGTCTTCCCCCTTGATGGAAAGGGCTGTGAACGCTACCAAGGAGAAGCACTAGATAAATGCAGCGTATTATTGTAACCAGACCTTACTCCCCTGGAAGATTCTACGGACAATCCAGTGACACACACACAGACAGCAAATCTCTTGCTATGGTTGTTTAGGAACAAGTGCTGCTGGCCCTTTAAAAGGGTAGTCCAGTGCTGGGCCGTAATTGTTAATGGTAAGCAGTCAGGGGCCACACTTCTGCGGAGGGGGTGGGGTCAGGAACAGTGAATGGGTGCAGAAGGGAGCTTGGGGGAGGGGGCTGTGGTGTGGAAGAGGATGTGAGGTCAAGGAGGGAGTTTGGGTGAAAGAGGAGGGTTGTGGTCTGGGGCAGGAGCTTGGGGTACAGGAGGGAGTTCATGGCGCATCGGAGCCCTTTTGCTCTCCGCTCCAGCTGCCGATTGCTAACGATTTGGGGAGTTTTTATGGGCTGGGTTCTCAGGGGCCTTGCGAGGGAACTGAACCAGGGGTGAGAATCCGTGACATAGTGGGGACTGTATTCACTGGCTGCTTTGGTATATTTCAACAAGACCAGACTAACATGGCTACATCTCTCTTGTTATGTTGTGTGTGGTTCCTACTGTCCTGTGCCGCTTTGTGGTCACAGAGAGTGTGTGTGTGTGGTTGTGTGTCTATATATAGATATAGATACAGAGAGAGAGAGGAAATGGCTCAAGTTGTTTTGTAACCTGAGCAGAGGGGGGGAGATGCAACCAGGTGTTATCAGATTACACCTTGGGCCCAGGAAGCAGGCAGGAAGGGATGGGGGCTTCCTGTAGGTCTAGGGCCGGGTTGCTGGGGACTTCAATCTTGGCTGATTTAGGATACAAGCAGGGGGCTCAGAGAAGGAGGGGGATGAAGGGCCCTTCTCCCCAAGACGGAAGGTGCTGGCTGCTCCCGGTTCCTGTGTTAACGAGTCTGTGCTACGCTGCGTCCCTGTGACCCAATAACCCTTCTCTTCTCCCTGCCGGCGGAGAGTCACGTCTGGCTGCGGAGGGGGGTGCTGGGCCCGGTGACTCCCTCACCCAGTACTGAGCCACAGTCGCACCTCAGGGATGAAGGGCCCTTCTCCCCAAGACGGAAGGTGCTGGCTGCTCCCGGTTCCTGTGTTAACGAGTCTGTGCTACGCTGCGTCCCTGTGACCCAATAACCCTTCTCTTCTCCCTGCCGGCGGAGAGTCACGTCTGGCTGCGGAGGGGGGTGCTGGGCCCGGTGACTCCCTCACCCAGTACTGAGCCACAGTCGCACCTCAGAGAGACACAGACTTCAAACCAGAGGGGGAGGCTCTCAGCAGGGACACACACGGGGCGTTTCTCCGTCCCGGGGGCAAAGGTGCCGCTGAGCGGCTGGGCTTGCGCCACATCCCAGCTGAGGGCAGCGATGGGTCCTCTTGCTGGCACCCCCCCCAGCA